AAGCAGCACAGGCCACTTCCCAGACTCCTGTGAGAGTCCTTCATCCCACAAAGTAGAAAAGAGCCAGAGTCCAGTAGCCCCTTAAAAACTAACAAAATCTGTGGTAGGGTATTGAGCTTTCATGAGTCACGGCTCATTTCTTCAGATATCTGATGTCTTTAAGGGGCTACTGGACTCTGGCTCTTTTCTACGGCTATTGACTAACACGGCTACCCATCTTGATCTCTTCACACAAGGCGGTCTATTGATAAGGCAGCCAAAACGGCGGGCTTGCCCGTGCTATTTTAAAGAGGCCCGAGGGGTTGCAAAGTGTTACCTCCTCCAGCCACTGTGTAGGGGAACAGCGCCGGCAGCAGCAGCAAAAGCCCTACTTGAAGGGGACCAATGAACTATGCGGGGTACCCCCCAGCTCTTCTCTCGGCACTCTGGAACTTTTTAGGCGGATATATCCTGCCTTCTCAGTGAAAGAACAAGGAATGGGCCCTAAATCGGAGACTGCTTTCTCTGCGGCTTTCAGATACACATGTCAGCCTTTGGTTAGCCTAGGTGGTAGTTTGGGCAGCAAGGCACACACACCCCCACTGAACTGCCATCACCCCATTCAAAGGAGACCTCAAAATTTGCGCAGGCAGACCTCTCCCCCCCCCCCAAAAAAAAAACCCACAAAATTATTTGGCAGAGAATTCGACACTTTAATGATGGTCTTGGCCTGGCTGGGGCGATGGCACGCGTGCCCACAGAGAGGGCTCTGAGTGCCACCCCTGGCACCCATAGGTTCGCCCCCATCACCCCATTCAAAGGAGACTTCAACATTTGCACAGGCAGAACTCCCCCACCCCACCCCAAAAAACACACACAAAAGCCCCAGGGCAAGTGACACCCCTCCCAAGGCCATTTGGGGTAGGGAAAAAGACACGGGGGGTGGGAAGGACCACTGAATTCCAGCCTCCCCAGCACCATGGCCTGATTCAGGGACCTGGGAATGTAGTTCTTAGCCATTGCCGTGTGTCTGAACAGAATGAGGATCAGCCGGATTGTGAGAGACTTGGCTGCTGCATCAATTAGTTTGCTCTGGAGCCCTCCTTCCTGAGCCAAGACAAAAATGTGTGAGCCGGAGGCTAAAAAACTGAGCTAGCTCACACTAACTCAGCTTAGGGGGAACACTGGCCGGAGTGTGTGTGTGTTTGTGGGGGGTGGGGAATCCTGACCCGCATCATTACACAGCGTCACATCTTGTGTGAGGCTCCACCCCTGAGTTTCAGTGGAGAAGCCAGACAACACTGCGTTGGCTAGTCCTTGGGTAGGCCCCCCCCCTTGTCGAACAATAATGCCCACCTTCTGGTCGGCTTCCAGATGCCATTCACGGGGCTGATCGCCTTGAAACCCCTTCATGAGCTGGGGGGCTTGCCCTTTGTCCTGGCACAGGCTCCTGTGCACAATGGCGAGTACCCCACCAATCTCGTCCTGACCCTCCCAATAGATATATCACACAGGTGGTGTCCTCCTGGCTTCAGGCAGGCAGCTAGCTGCCCCTTTTATCGTGCTCCAGCCTCCTGGAGGGTAGCTGCCAGATCCCCACCCTTTTAGCCAAATTTGTCAGGCCTTTTCTCAAGCATCGTTTATGATCAGGAGTCATTTCGTAGAAAAAGAGGTGCCAGAGCTCATTAGCATAACTCATTAGCATAACTCATTTGCATATGCCACACCCCCTGACATTACTGGAAGTGTGTCAGAAGGCAACACCCACCGCTCAGGCTCCACTGGACTCTTT